GAAAAAAAATTGTTTCTAAAGTGTCTGTCACGCCTGCAAGGGGCACAATGTGTATCCAAATGAACATTAGGTGAAAAAACGAAATTTACCTTTTCATCGATTCAAATAGTAATAAATATACTTTGAGATATGCTCTATCTTATGGTGGAAGAAAATTTTTTATTACGAATTTTAAGTAGAGTGAAACAACCAGGATTCAAAAACTAGCCTGGTAGCCACACCTAGTAGATATTTTGAATCTGCATATCGTCTGGCATCGATCATCGAAGAGATCTTTTAATTTGAGAAAAAAAATAGATGTTTTTCCGAAACTAATTTTCTGAATAGCTAAACTGAGTAAAATGAACGCGTACCCTTAACACCAATCTAGAATATCAGAATGTTCTATTCTATGTCCTCCGCCACTACGGCTAGCATAAACGCTCCTGAATCACATAGCAAGTTTTCCAAAAAGTCTTGACTTTTCCGCTAAACTTGTTTTTTTTTCAAACTTCAAAGCATTTCTATTGAAAACCAATGGTATATTCTGAAGCTACATCGGATGATGTATAACACAAGACATTTTCTCGAAAAAATGTGAACAAAGATTTCTCTCAGCTGTTTTTCACCGAAAAATTCTTTATTTTCTTACAAAGTAGTTTTTTGAAGAAGGAACTACCCGAACCAATACTCGTCGTTTGAGCTCCTATTGGGTTCACAAGGAGATCTTAGTAAGACTAGAAAAATTCTAGAAAGATTCATACACATGGGTTTCAGAGTCAAATTATCATCGTTTTACTGAATTTTCGATCCAGCTTTAGGTATTTCTCGGAAAATCAAATAAAGGGATTTCGATCTGAAACTTTGCCCGTAAGCAAGTCGAATGACTGGTAGAATATCTTGAATGTTACTTTGTCAAGATATTGAATTTCCAAAAAAATAGTCGTTTATCACAAAAATGAGTTTACCTTAAAATTCAGTATCGTGGCAAAGTAACATTCGGAATATTCTATTACCAAATCCTAAATATCAGTCTAGAAGCTAAACCTACTCTTATTCTAATTCAATCCGGAATATAATATTCAACAAGATTTATTTTCACTTTTGTTCCATCATTGTAAGAGACAATAGTTTCAAACAAGAATATAAGGAAATAAAATTATTATCAGATTTGTAGTGATAAATTCCAAAAAACACAAAAGACTAGTTTTTCAATACTTTGAGGGCGTAAATATAACTTTGTTTAGACTATATAGAGCGACAGAGCAAACAATTCGCTACAAAATGAGAAATTGTCGAGTTCTGTGCAACGTTTTTTTAGTTGAGATACAGTAATGTTACGAAAGCATCTAAAATCGTATTATTACTGTTTCCTATAGAAAAACGATTAATCAAATTGCTGTGTATCAGCCAAAAACATCGTAAAGAACTTGGCAATTTTTCATTCTGTAGAGAATTGTTTACTTTATCATTCTATGTCGTCTAAACAAAATTATATTTACGTCCTCTAAGTATTGAAAAATTAGTCTTTTTAGTTTTCTAGAATCTCTATCTTTGTAAGTCTGATAATAATTTTTATCTTTGGTATATGCCTGTTTGAAACGATTTTCTCTTACGACAAAGGAAAAAATTGAAAATAAACTTTGTTGCATAATTTTGATATTCACTGTATAATGACTAATCACCTTGTTTATGTTGATGATTAAATTCAATCACTATTTCATCTCTTCATTTATTTTATATAATTTCAACCAATGCTTTCTCTAGTATTAAAAATCTAATAATCATTCAAGATTTACATAGTCGTTTCAAAAAAAAAAAGATATGCTCGTAGATTTTCTTTGAAATCGAAATATGAAACACACTAGTGTTACTGATTTTTTTATAATCAACAAAACATTTATATTGTGTGTGTACAGGAAATAAATAATAAATATTAATTTTTTTTCTTTTCTCTTATTACAGATTACAGCATGCAATATTATTTGATACAATCTATAAAAAGAAAGATCTTATATTTCTTTTTCATAATTATTACCTCGAAACATTCATTTGGACAATTTCGAATAAGATCAAGAACATCATTCGAAACTTCCAAGAGATATTCACTAACCAAACTTTGAATAAGTTGACGATCATCATCTATGAAAATGAATTTTCTTTTCTCTTGAAAAATAATAAATTGTAAATTAAAATCTATATCTTTATAAAGCCGCATTGATTTATCTGTTGCCATAGTACTTTCAGACCATTGTCGTCTATGATTGTTATTGTTATTATTATTATTATTGTCATTACTATTACTAATAGTTGTTCTACTCGATAACATTATATTCTAGAACAACGAAAGCAAAAAAATAGACAGGTATTTGATCCGCTAGATTTATTGTATTATAAAATGCTGAGTTTTGCCTGTGGAACTAACAAAACAAAATCTAAATAGACGTCTCACTATAAACTATTTAAAACATTACAAACAAATAAGAAAAAAAAGAATAAAATAATATGGAATTTTATTTATTCAGATGATGATACTTGATCTTTTGTATAATTCATGCGTCTTTCTCGCCAACGTCTCAAAATAAATATTTATTCAAATAGTAGAAAACAAATCTAATAAATCTTACTTAGCTTCAGCATATTCATTTTCATATTGAAAATGAATAAGATGAGGTATTGGTGCATAATCACGAATAAATAAATATTTTTCAAATGGATGTTCAATTATAAATGGAACATATTTTGTAAAATAATAATTGGCAAAGTAATACCAAACACCACCTAATGCTGTTCCAACAAATGCACCAGCAACAACTTGTGCCATAGTATGATAATGAAGATATACTCTATATAGATAAATGGAAATTCGAGTTTTGTTTATTTGTTATCAAAGTTCGTCTATCTACCGGCTATATACGACTAGAGCAGCAACGATAAGTTGTGAAAAAACAAGAAAACGGTTGCGTAATGAACGAATACGTGGTATACCAGGCATTTAAGATCTAATATTTATTAAAAGAAATTTTATTACAAAAAAATAAATAAATAAATAAATCGATTTGCTTAAGAATAATAAATATAGCTAAATATGTCATAAAATAAAAGAATGTTTGAGAATGATCGATTGGCATACCATGAACTTCATATAAACCCATCCGATCTTAAGCTTAAAATAAGTTAAAATTTAGGCATGCTAAAATATATTATAATTACTTACGAGAGAACTTCATCAGATGTCCTCTTCGGATTTCAATGATTTATTTTTTGCCTATGGATACTGGATAGTATTCTAATAAAAACTCTAAAAGGGTCTGAGTTTCTATTAAGAGCTTTTATTAGAACACTATGTAGTATCTACAGGCAAAAAAAAAACATTGAAATCGGAACGGGATATCTGAGGAGGTTTCCTCATTAGTTGAATGGGTGGGTGTGAGGGTGTGGGTGTGGGTGTGGGTGTGGGTGTGGGTGTCGGTGTGGGTGTGGGTGTGGGTGTGGATACAACTCTTCTCAAGACCCACACCCATACCCACACCCACACCCACACCTACCCACACCCACACCCACCCACACCCACACCCCACCCACACCCACACCCGCCCACACACACCCACCCCACACCCACACCCACACCCCACACCCACACCCCACACCCACCCACACCCACACCCACACCCACACACCCACACCCAACCCGAAATATATATCTCGCTTTTCAAGTTCTATCAATTTGCAGTCCCAAAAAGATGAAAACGGAAGAACAAGAGATGGAAAAGTCCAAAAGCTGGGAAATTTAGCACCTTTTCAAAATATTCATGAATATTTCTGCAATCGAGTTTTCTGAAAGAAAAGCTGGTCTTTTCGGCGAACTTTTTGTGATTCGACTGCTTGATGATATCGGTGGTAAATAGATGAGATCAAAGATGAGGAGAAAAGTAATTGGGATCGGAATACATTGCCATGTTCGATATAAATTCTAATATAACTGAATGGTAAATTCCTGTAAGCGTGTATGCAGAAAGAAAAGCATAAATTGAACTATTTTATAATAGATTTGGAATAGAAAGAGTGTTTTATCTACTGAATAAATTTTACGATTGTGAAAATTCATTTTGATCTGTTGTCTAATTGTCATAAAAAGGAGAAGAACAAAAGATTAAATCACAAATGTCGAAGACAAGCGTGGAAATAACGTGGTGCTTCTCTTTCAATTGATTTAAATCAGCTTCGTTGTTTGGTTTTGCCTCTAATCTCAGTGAGAAAAAGATTGTTTCAATTAAAATAAATCTGCAACGTTTCATCAAAATCCAAAAGACCTGGCTATCAATGTTTTTATATAGATATTCAAAGTTAAAGCCCTACAGGTTAAAGGTTCTTGTAATTTTTAACCTTTCCAACGCTACCCTATTCCGAAGAAGTTTTTATCACACATTTAAACGCACAGATTTTTTCAAAAAGTTGAGTTGTCCTGCTATCGCTATCGGCAAAGACTAACAGGAAGTAAATGAAATCCAATAAAAGTTTTCAATGCAGATCTAGTTTGAAGTAGATTAATTTATAATTTCAATTATCTATTTAGATTATAGTTGACACTGATTTTCAATGTAATACCGTGTTATGTCAGGAGAGACATCTCTTGGCATAAGAGAGCTCTCTCTATAATATTACAGCTCTCGTTAATGGCATTCCTTCTCATCGCTTCATGATATCTCTTTGTTCTGAAAATAAACAAGGAGATATATCATAGAAGAAGAGAGAGACACATTCTTTGTTGCTTTTTTGTTTTTTAAAACGAAGGGAGAGAATAATAAAATAAAAGTAAAGGCCTAACATGGATGTTGATTCAAAGAAGAGCTGCACCCACACCCACACCGTCCATGAAAATGAACATCTCAAAAAAGTTTTCTAAGAAAACTGAATCGGGTCGAATGTGTTAATTAGATTAACAACTCTAATTCTAGATAAAATTTCTTCCTCCATTGCAAAATAGCTTTTTTATTATATAGTCACATGTTATCATACATGATCATTTTAAGATGCATAGATTTTACTTCTTTTTTATAAAATAACTTTCTTTTCTTCTTCTTTTAACTTTTATTCTAATAATCATTGATTATAATGGAAGTATTTTTGCATTAGGAAAATAATCTTTTGAATATTGAAAAACTTCTGATTCACTGTATAAAACTATACAGTCTATTTTGGAACAATTGATCCGTGTTGCATCTCTTGTAAAATTGTACGTTACTCTTTGTGAAGATTCATAAGTAATATGAAGTGTAATATTATTTAATAAACGCGTTTTACTATCGATTAGAAATTCTTCAACATAATTTTCGTGCGTTCGAACAAGATCAAGTTCAGTAAGATATATGGAAATGATTGAGCAATTCTAAGAAAAAAATCATGTTTAAAAGGATATTCATCATATAATGATACTTGACCGACAGATTTAAATAATCCATCAGAAAAATTATTCGTTATATTATGATAATATATCAATGTATATGGATATGAATAAATATGACAATGACATTCATTTGCTTCTGGAAAATAGTTAACACCTGAAATAATTTGATTATTTTTAAAATTTCTGAATGTATATTGAATATCTTCATTTGATGGTATTTTAATTTGATTAGCATGTCGAATAATTGAGTAAATGTCAAATGTAAATTTGTTTAATCGTGTCATATAATTCAAAATATTCTTTTTCAACTTATCACCATCAATAATTCGTCCATTATCATAAACAAAATACAAACTAAGTTTTTCCAAATTTGACATTCTGTGTAAAAGTCGAACAAGAAATTCATCGTAGTCAATTATCGTCAATCTATGGATAAGTGAGAAGCATTTTAAATTGGGCAGTTTCTTCTAGAAAATGAAAGGGCAAATAATCAATATTGGTAAATGTATTATAAATTCATTCGAATAAAAAAAAGATTTTAATATGAGTGACTTACTTCATTATTAATTCTTATCAATCTAGGAGGTACACCACAAATGGTAACATAGAATGTATGAAGTTGATTGAAATGACCATTGAGTAAATAAAGACAATCTTTGTAAGAGTCTACTATGATATATAATTCTAATAGAGTTGAAGAGAAAACACTTGGAAATGAGAAGCCAAATGATAATCGATGATAAGCAGAAGAAGATGGACCAAAATTAAAATATTGTAAATTACTAAACAGAGTAAAGACTTGTGTATATATAAATCTATTAATATCTGGGATTGAGTATCGATCTTGACATTTACTAATATCAATAGCAAGTGATGAAATTTGATTTTTGAACTTACGAATAAAAAAACTTTCATCTAAATAAACATTGAAAATTTCTGTTTACCCTCCACTCCAAAATAAAAGGGGTCCCCTATTTATATTGCGTTTCCGCACGTTGGATGATCATCTATTGAGGTCAATCTTTGACTAATTATTAATTAAAAATCTTTTAAAACTATAATAATTAATGTTTTTCGAATATTTTTCACAGAAAAACTATCGTTTCCATAATAAAAATATGATTTGAATAGTAGAATACGGATTGATTCCTGAGAAAAACGGTAATATTTTAAACTATATATTAAAAAAAAAACGGTAATATTTGACTAATTACTAATTCATATTTTCGAATAATTAATTATTTTGTAATAAATTAATGGTATCTGACTGTCTAATAGAGCCGATGAACTTTTGTTCAGACGTGGCTTTCTCATTTTAGGAGGCGCGAAACGTTGGATTATTTATTAAGTTTTGTTTTATTCATTAATACATCTGTTTCTCTTTGCTCTCATTAATTATTTTCCTATATGTTATATATGATCTTCTTTAACATTTATTTTATACTATAGTTTCTGTTTTGAGAATTAACATCTAAGAATTTTATCTCGAAACAATCGAAAATGTTTCTAATTATCTTATTAAAATAATATCCGTAATAATCAAATTCTGATTAAAAAGTATATATTCGAATAAATTATTTGAATGTTTTACAATAATTATTTATTGAAAGAATTAGAGAAATACATATCTTACCAACAGGGGTGCAGAATCTACCCGTGTGCGCCGACGGTCGTCGGGGGAAATTTTTCAAGTTCTTTTACAGTTGGGGGAAATTTTTGAAGGCTTAGTAGTGACATTTGAGAAAATTTTTTGGTATTTTCCCCTGTAGGAAAATTTTCGAAATGAGTCTTAGTTTACCTGTATATGTCAGGGAAGCCATGCAATGGTTGCTTTTTTTCTTCTCATTCAACTTTCGAAAGAGCCATTTTCTATTTTCATAAAATGATTACTATAAGTGTTATTAAAAGAAAAATGGCTGTTATAGGATAATCTAATTATGCATGTAAAACAATCGATCAATGCTCTTCACAAATTAGTTAACAGTGTCACATTTTCATAAAATTGTTTATCACTTAATCATTAGTATTCGTTGATTGCTTTCTTTCTTTGTCTGTGCTCTCAGAAATCAGTCTGCGTACGATTTAAACCTTCTTCATTCAAAAAAAAGTAATTCGAATAACAATGTACCCAAGTAAACAACAGGTGTCATGCTTTTATTGTGAATGGGTCGGGCGAAAAGATAAAGCAAAAAACCATTGGAAAAAATATCATCCTGAAGAAAGATTTAAGTTAAAGATTTCCGAAAACAACTTGACTAAATATCATTTTCGAAAAGAAGTAGCTGAAGAATCCACAACAATTCCCAATGATGATGAAAATACGGATATATTTGAAGAGCAACAACAAGCAAATATCACTTTATTGCCTCCATGTCTACCAACCTCAACATCAACAGTACCAACAATGAATAATGCTACACTGCTGTCAACAACAAATCTATTACATACACCATCAATTCCAAATGCAACATCAGATATAAATACATCGTCAGGTCCTACAGAAAATTTAAAATTGGTGTATTCTATGCAAGATCAATTGACATTCATGGCACAACAACTTACAAAAATTAGTAATTCAATTGAAAATATTCAATTAGAAAAAAATAACAAAGTATCATCATCAGCTTCTCAACAAGATGAGATCGAACAACTATTTGAGAACATTATATGTTCAGATGATTCATTTAATTTAAAATGTTTAGAAATAAATTATAAATTAGATATGATCATATGTATTCCTTGCTGCACATAGAAGACACAACCCTAGGTGAACGTTTTTTTTCATGCTCTTGACCTGCACAGACCTCAAGATTTGTCCATAGCGCATGACTTTCTTGCTTAAGACAAGCGCTTCAGTGTTTGCATGAGTTATAAGAAACTCATATGCTCAACCCAAGAAAATGCAACTATGAGTTTTTATTAAAAGTTGAGTTATTTTTAAACGTAAAATTAAAAAAAAAAGTAAAAAAAAAGTTCCTAGATAATAGGAACGCTTGGATCAGAATTCAAGCACATGAGCAAGAATATCAAGCTATAGGACAAGAATTTCAAGAGATTGAGCTCGATACAAGGTCTCAAGTCTTGCCTCACGATTTGTCCATAGCGCATGACTTTCTTGATCAAGATTCTCAAGTGTTTCATGCGCAGACCAAAAGAAGTTCGACTAGGGCGTAGACTTGAAAAAAACTAAAAAACCTCCTTAATAACAGAAACGCTTGGGCAAGAATATCAAGCGATAGAACAAGAAGTTCAAGAACTCGAGCTCACCGAAATGGTCTCAAATATTGCCTCAAGATTTGTCCATAGAGCATAACTTCCTTGATCAAGATTCTCAAGTATCTCCTGCGCAGACCAAAAGAAGTTCGTCTAGGGAAACACCAAAATATTTAATAAGTTCAATTAATTCTTCATTTGGTATGTTTCAACACATTGAACAAAAAATAGGTGAACCTCAATCACAAAAATTTGCAATGTATTAAATAATAGTGGCTTTCTTGAATAAGTATTTTCATCCAGAAAAGTCGGTATTTAATTGACTCTCATACCTGGAGAAATTTTTCGAAAAAATTTTACCGTCGGAGGAAATTTTTAATTTTGTCGGCAGATTCTGCACCCCTACTTACCAGTAAAAAGATCTTTAGCTGTTTCTGTTGCAAGATCATATAAACCAAGTCCATATAAATTAGGATAATTTGTTAAGAGTAGAATACGTTTGATAGATGATGATTCAAGATCAAGAAATTCGATTTTATCATGAATTTTAGGTAAAATTTCAAGACAAAATCGATCAAGTATTGTATTAGTAAATTGATATAATAAGCCATTAGAGAAAAATGTCCTTGATATCAAATATTTTGTAAAAACCGAATCATTTACAATTGTATTAAGTCGTTTATTAACATTTATTAAAGAATAGAGTACTTCGGCATTATGCAAATTTTTCAGAATAATTAGAAGACTTTCGTCAGGTAAATCATTCAATTGAATAAATGAATGTTCCATGTCTATCTTCACCTATATCTATTTTGTTTAACTTATAAATATAGACAAACCCATGCCTTCTGTTTGACCGATGTCGTCAATAAGAACAATGATACATTGTCCTATAATTGAAATTGACGATTTTAGTTTAATATAGATATTATTATGACTTTTGTACTTCCATTATTTACTTTTGTTTCGTATTCGCTGTTGCATTCTGTATTCAAAAGATGTTGTACTTCAATAACGAATTTATTTATGTGAATCGGATTTTGGTCAGAATAAACAAAAAGTTCAATTTCAAATGATTTTCTTGAAAAACTTTCTCTATTCATCATGACGAAATCATATTCGCTTGTTATTCTTCATTTCATTACTTTATGGTGATACACGTTCTAACATAAAATTTTCACTTTAATTATATGCTATCTTATAATTATAATTATATCTATGAGAAACTGCTAGCTATTCGTGGTTTCTTTCTTCGATGATATCGAATGTTCTCTAAAACTTTTTCTTTCGATATATTTGCTTTCGTGCTGATTTTTGAGATAGAAAGATTTTGAATTTGCTTTTTTTTCGAAATTATTTTCTTCAATGTTTAGACGTAATACCATGGAATTTAGTATTTGTTTACATGAATTCTATGTTTTTAATTCAATAAAATTATTAGAAATAAAGATGAAATGAATAAATTCTATTGAGGATGAGTTATTAATGATTAATCTACATTGTTTTCAATAAGAAATGTATAAATATAAACAGAAAAAGATCTAATGTTCAGATTGAATCGAAATACAAACTCATGCTAATCATCTACTGAACCAATTATCAATATTTAACACAATCATCTTAGTTCATTCTTCTTGTTGTCCTTTATTTTTTCATCAAGTATATCAAATTCAAATGTTTTTTTACAGTTTTTTGATGAACATTTGAAGAAGTATTTCAAGGTTGTACTTGTTGATTTACTGCACATATGTGATAAACAACGCAATCGATAAACTCGTCGAGTGAACTAAATGTTCTAAATAAAAGTAAATGTTTACAATTTATGTTGAATATAAACAACTTACCCATTGTCGTTGACAAATTTATTGACATTCGAAATATCAAAACCATGTCGGAATACTCCCGGAAACTAAAGGTACAATTGATGTATATACAGATGATTATTGTCTAGATTCTTACGTCAACTTGTATACGAAATTTTTCGTGGTTATGAACCATCCGACATCAGATTTGATATAGGCGACATCAGTGGCGTAGCCAGGGATTTTTCACCATTGGACCGTTTCCCAACTAAACTATTCTGAGGTTGGGCAACAATGGGCAATTAAAAAACAATAGGGCCACAATTTTTTAAAACTTATTGCCATCACAAAAACGAATATTTATTGAAGAGAAACTCGTGGTTCTCAAACTAAGAAAAGTTATGAAGATACTTAGCCCCAATCGTTACTGCAGTTGAAAATTACTGTGTAATATTCATTTCAAATAAAGAGATATAAATATCTTTTGATGGGAGCACGGTAGAGATATGCGGTGTTCACCATTGGATGATGGAGGTAACAATGCAATAAGCCCTGTCTTATTGAATTTCTTCCGATTTATTCAAAAAATATACGTTTTTAGATGGATCTATAGAGTAAACTTTCACCACAATACAACGAAAAACAAACTTTTCTGCTAATTTTATTAAAAAATTGCTTAACTTCTCGCAAGTAAATGCCTATGATACATTATGAAGGGGTTTTAATAGTGTTCGACTGGTTCTGTTTTACAGCTCTTTGATCGATAGTTCTAATAGATGTCTCCAAATTGAAAATCCATTGTGATGACTTCATACTCTAGATGAATTTCTATAACGTTCAAACCAGAACTCTCTGAAAAAAATATCAGAAAATCTGCAAGACACAATTCGATGCACTCTCGTTTTTCTCGAATGGTGAATGCCTGCTTATGAGGGAACTACTCCGACTGATTCCGAGCTTTCAGTTTTATCTTTTGGCTACAGGTAGGCCTCAGTGAGACTAAGAAAACCCTAGAAGCGTTCGTGCCTATGACTCTTCCTTCACGAGGTATGGTCAAAACTATGTCATAACAGAAGGGATTTTTCTCATTATTGAAAAGTTTCTTTTTTTTTCATCAAAATAGTTGTATATTTTTCTTTATACAGCTAGCTCTAGTAGGGTGTGGGGTGCGGACATAGGTGTGGGTGTGGATGTTGGTGGGATATCGAAATAGTGTAGAGTCACCCATACACATATCAACACCGTGTTGACATTTATTCTCTCTAGTTTTCTCTTTCATAGAGAGCTAACAATTGATGCAAAGTGATTTCAGACAAGAAAATTATGAGTTTTGACCAAATATAATTGCTGATATCGAATAAAAAGAAATAGATGTACCATCATGCATGCCACTTTCACAAATATATATATACATATAAACATCATATGTTAGCGATGTTCTCTGACTAAAGAATGAGGGTGGGTGTGGGGTGTTGGTGTGGATTTTGATGTTCATCCACATTGATACTCACACCTACTCACTCACATCCAAAATTTGATAGGAAAATGCCGACCGTTCAAGACAATTTTTATTCAGCGAAATTTCAAGTAGGTTAACATGTACATGTGTAATTCTTTTTGTTAATTTGGTTAATATAAACTGTTGATGGAAGCTAACTTTTTTCGTTTGAAATTTCAAATTTTTAAAATCATATTAGACATAGACATGTAATTTTTGATTTATCATAAATCGGAACTACCAATATATTTACCTACAAAAAAAGAGATGAGAAAATAAAGCGACTCATTTATTTACACCTTGGCTAATTTCTAGTGAAACAACTACGTATTACATTCTTGAAATCAAATAAACAGAGGTTGGAAAATCTCAACAATAGCCCATTATGTCCATGTGTTTTATTCTTGTTTAATAGTTCGAATCTAAATGTATTCAAACGACTTTATTATATTTGACAATTCTGAATTTATAATGATTGTCTTGAAAGTGTTCGTTTCATATATCAGCTAGTCGAAGCTCAATCAAGTAAGCCACCTAGGAGATGTTTCATATCTGATTGCTGATCGATGTAATAACTTATTAACAGTAAATACTAAAATACAGAAGAACATATGGGATGATAGAGTACAATGAGGGGAACATTTCATTTGCTAGCAACAACATCTGTCCATACTTTTCCAAAATTTTACTAATTTATTATTTAAAACGGACAGAAAAAATCATTGATTACATATCCTGCCACAAAGATGAGTCGATCGCAAAGCCGTTTCTAGGTATCCCAAGTCGGTTCTTATGTCATGATATAGATCACAGTTTGCTCTTTAAGACTGGAGTAGTCCGAGGAAAAGCTGAGGTTTATTTTTCGAGAAAAATGAGTTTTTGGCGCTAAAACTGATTTTGCACAAAGTATTATAGTGGACAAAACACTTCTCTCAATCAAGCTGAAATTTTCAATGCAGTGAAATTTCATTAAGATATGTTTGAAAAAAATTTCATGTCTCTCTCTTTTTTCAGTGCCGAGATATGAAGTCCCAAAATAGTGTTTTTTTTCCTTCAGCAGTGAATCCATAAAATCCCAAGCACTCTACTAGTCTGGAATATTCATACCAACAGATGTAGATGATTAAGTCGAATGCTTATCATATCTAAAATTGTTTTTTTAACACAAACTATCTTTAATTTTATCATTGAGAAGCTTTTCTTTTTGGTTTCAAAAATGATCAATTTGAAGATTTCTTAATTGAACGAAAATTATCATTTCAATTGAAATGTAAAAAACAAAAATCTGGAGAAGTCAAAAGTTAATAGATAATTCAAAATGAATTGCTTAGAGCGTCTCACAGAAAGATTCTATTTTTTCATTTCAACTTACAAAGGTGATTTCTAATGTAACCGCAGTTAAATTTCTATATTCGTTTAACATCTTTTGTGTATTTTCTTATATTGACTATTTTATTAATAATATTTTCTATTTTTACGAAAAATAGATACTAATCAATTCAACTAAAATTATTATACTAAATGTACTGAAAATGTAAATTAATTTCGTAAGATAATTTCCGAAAATACTGAAATTATAATAATTCGATTTGTATCAATCTGTTCACTTACAATAACAAAATTTCCTACACGCTTGTCAAACTATTCTTGGATAGATAAGAATAAAATTTGGAATGTATTTGTATTGACTCGCGCGACTAAGGATAAGTTACATACACTTTTGTATGTAGCTTATTTTGACTATGTATTAAGACTTCAATATCAAACCCACTAATTCACTTTGAATTAAGAATCATGATTGGTGTATTCACATAGCATTCTGTTCATGTTCATATTACAAAGGGTGATTTATATGGTGGGACTGGAAAAAGTGTTTACATTCAGAATGTCGAGGTGTTCAGTATAACGGGTTGTTGACATAGGAGATAAAGGTTTTACTGTATATAAATATCTTTTTATTTTTGTCACATTTCAATGCAATAGCACAAAGGAAAAATAAGATTTTTACTAGTTGTTGGATTTATCTCTAGCAAAGATCTTCTTGAATTCGTCATTTTTCCATCGATCAGTCGAAACAAACCAAATCTGTTCAAAAGCATGTTTTATTGATCCTTTCGAACCCATCATTGGTAAGTTAAGTGCTTTATAAAAAACTTCACCTATAGAATTAACATCATTTCCAAATGCACCAGTACCAATAGGTCCAAGTAGAAGATACGTGTTTTTTCCATCACCAATTGTATTGGCAACAGCCGCTGCTATAAACGCACAAAATTTTGCTAAATTCTTTTTTTCCCACTATAATATAAATCAATATTTAAATTTAAAAAAAAATACTTTACTAAAACAAAATAAATCATTAGAATTATCATTTCAATAGTTACGTCATTTTTAGTTCTTGGATTATTATAAAGTTCATGTCCACACATACAATAACAAGCAGATACTAGCATATCAGCTTTTCGATATTCATCCGATGATAACGATTTAAAAATTCGAATATTACGAACATAAGCTAATCCAAATTCAGGTATTGCATAACCACCATTCATTCGTCCATATTTTAGATCAAGTAATGCACGATAACCATCAGAATTATAAAGAAGAACTTCTTCTTGTGCCCCTATAAACAAAAAAAGAAAAATGAATAATTGAAAGAAAATGTTTTTTTAATAGAATTTACGTGCATGTCTTAAATATCCACCACCTGGAGATTGTTCATTCTTTAAAATAAAATATTTTATAAAAAAAAAAACCAAAAAAACAAAATCGTTTACTGCAAAATTCAGAAGAATAATTTGAACAGTTTCCGGTACATCAAAGACTGCTTTTTCGATGCCATTTGTTACATAAATTATTTTACCACTATGATTTCGTTCACTAACAGGATATTGACGAAGATTTTCAACAGCATCATCATCTGATGGATCAAACAGAATTTTTTCGCTTGATTCAGGACAAAGGTTTTCAATTTGTTCCACATTCCAATAGAGCTTAAGTTCTTTCGAATCAAAGCCATTTTCTCGGGATTTTTTCATATACTCACGAGATTGCAGTACACCATTATATTGCTAAAATAAAAATTAAACGTAACGCCATTCTAATATAACAAAAAGCAGTAACATGTCAAAGAAAATTTATAAATTAAATAAATCTTGCATACATTCAATTTTTATTCTTTTTTGTATATGATTCGATCAAAAAATTTTCTCGAAAAAAATATTTA